GAGAATACAGCATGACTTCATCTGACCCGTACACAATTTATAATAATTTTCACAAAATACCTTATTCACATGTTTTTTTAAATTATTTCTCATATATTAAGGAGTGTTTACACTATCTGAAAACTAGATGGGGAAATTAAACAGTTTTTACCCGAGTAGGCTGGTTTTCTTGGAGGTTTCTGTTGTAATTATTTCCTTATTTTAACCTATTTCCTTGACGATAAAGTTATTCTTGCTACTGTTGACCATGGTTTGTGACAGTTATTTCCCAATCAGCAGCAATTATACAAATGTACCCAATTTCCCGTCATTTGAGTGAGTATGGTTGTACGCCGCTTTAGCAATATTCCAGCAATATCACAGCGGGGGTCACATTGTACCCATGTCGGGAATCGAACCCGGGTCATCGGCGTGACAAGCGAACGGTTTAACCACTAGGCTACCCGACCGCCCCTGCAGGTCTCAGACGTTTACCACTTTGGAAAACCCACGAGTACGGGTATGGTGCTGACAAACATAATCCGAGCGAACGGGATTCGAACCCACAAACAGGTTTCTGACATGCCCTAGGTTCGCAACTATGCCAGCGAATGACGGCTCTTTAGACAACTGGGTTAACTGTTCCCCCACAACCATAAAGGTTGTGAGTGATGTGTTTAGAGCCAATGCACAGCTACTTCATATTTCGGGGGCACGGGTGGCCCAGTCGTCTCAGGCGCCGCGATTCGCTGTGCAGAGTTGCGTCCCTTGGGCACGCCAGAAACCTATGATTGTGGGTTCGAATCCCGGTTCGCCCCGATTATGTTTCTGGGTTTTGTCAGCACCATACCCGTGCTCGTGGGTTTCACCGAAGCACTAAACGAGACCTGCATCACTTGGGGCTTTCCTCCCACATTAAGCTGACACGCCGTGATATAACTGGAATAATGGTAAAAGCGGCGTTAAACCCAACTCACTCACTCACTCACTTCACATTTCAACCCATTCCTACTTGGCACCAAACCGTTGTCGTCATCGAAATTTCATGCGAAATTTATGTGAGCCTTGCTTTCCAGGGTTCGAGATTCTTTAAATTTTAGTTTCAATGGCACGATTAAAATCATAATGAAACAATTACGATAACTTCCCCGTGTCTGATTGACACACTTAGAAAACGTATTGTTTTAATGGCACTACCTTGAGACAATGTTTATTCTATGAAACCACAAATAAATATAACAATCAAATGAAAAATGATAAACATATGAACACGATTAATGCACAGTAGGATCATTAAACTTACATTTTGGTATTCAGAATTGAATATCTAGTCTTGGTGAAATGGCATAAATTATTCATCTAGAAGCACACTTTATTTCTAAAGGGCACAACCAAACACCTTTATGTATGCCCTGGGGCACACTTGGTGTTTATTTGTTTGTTGTTTAATAATCGAGTCTGGACCAGACAATCTAGTGATTGACATTATGAGCACCGATTTACACAATTGGGATCGATGACATGACTCAACCAAGTCAGCGATCTTGACCACCCGATCCCGTTAGTCGCCTCTAACGGCAAGCATGAGACCTATTTTCTACGCTGGTACACTTCAAAAACAAATATGTTTCTATCCCTGCTTGCGTTTATGAAATCAGCGTTACACAGAAGCCTTTGATATTGATGACAATAGTACAAGTATAAAGTAAACACAGGAACTGGAAATATATCGTAGCACGAGGAAGGAAACTTATCAACAAACAAACAATGAGGTTGAAGGGTGCCCCCGACACACGCAGACTGCAGACACAAGGAATGGGGAATCGAGACTTGATTTGCATATTTGACGAGGACTCATTTTACACATTTATAACGATTTTGACCTCTATGCATTGAGGGAATATTTTGTAATGAATAATGAATGATATTTTTGGCGTTTTTATGACATGAAATGCATTATTTTCGTCAAAACAATTGGTCCGGGCTCTCGACGATTTGATGAAATGAAAATATGTTGGATAAAAAGCAATCACTCAAAATTATTAATACGTATAATAATCCATTTTTGTCGCCTCACGCAGGAGGTTTGGAGGGAGCATGCGCCCAACATAACGGCGTGAATTAATTTATTTCGTATTTAAATGTAATGTTATACGGTAAAAGTTCTGGCAGCTGGTTGCCATTTAAAGTATCGTACATGAAGACGTTCATACCGTACATACGGTACGCACGTATATCTTCGATAAGTGCGTTTTATGTACGGTTCTTTTACTGGCAATTTAACCATCTGGCAGGACTTTTACGGTATGAGAGATACCATTTTTTTACCGTACAGATCCAGTGAAAGTGGTTACAAATTTTGTTTGTTTGTTGTTTAACGCCACACTCAACAATATTCCAGCTTCGGCAAGGGTGGAAACTGGACTTTTATAGTCAGTTAATTCCCTTGCCTCGGGAAGATGCATTTCAAACAACCTAGACATGGACTGCTTTAAATCTATCCCGACGTGCACGTCCAGTGAAAAAAAGAAAGCATTTTACCAAGTATCCTCAGTAACATCGTCAAAGCATATATATTCCGGTTACTATGCAGTATCTGTCAGTACCGAGTTACGACACAACCATGTGTGCTTCGTGCGTTGTACAAAAATGGTCCAAACGAGGGTCCAGATTAAGAGGGCCGGACCAACGATGGTCCAGCCTAACGAAGGTCCGGACTAACGGGGGTCCGGATTAACGAGGGTCCGGACTAACGAAGTGCACAAGCACACATCATGAGTACACAATGCCCACATAATGGGCTGGGGTTTACCCTATGTAGCAACTATTTGTAGACATACGACTGCAATACAGTTTGGGGCAAAGGCGAATTACTCACGTGAGCATCAAACCAAGTCATACTGATCAACGCAGATGTTTTTATTTCGTTTACGTTGTGAAACTGACGGGATATTTGCGACAATCACATGACTCGAAGTGTTTTCAGACAGTAGTAGACAAATCGACTTCCTGCCCTATAAACGAGTTTAAACGCCTCAAATTCTCATCGGGCAACGCAAATTACTTATACAGGGGTATGTACATGTTATCGTAGATAATATTCCGAGCAACGAAATTTACACAGAAGGTGTATTCGTGAACGCAATATTACAAGCAAAGAGTAACTTACTTGGGGACTTGTTGCTTACTATATAGGTATACTTCCAAACAACGTACAATAATCATATATGGATCAGTGATAAGGTAAAATTCCCAACAAAGACAATTACCGGTGGGGCAGGATACGCTGACCTTTTCGTGAACACCTGTTGTCACCGCTATTTGATAGTAATTCATAAACACCTGGGCCCACTTGCACAAAGCGATCTTAGCGCTAAGATGATCGTTACTCCCATACTTTAACATAGGCTTACAATAGTTGTAGCGCTAAGATCGCGTGGTGCAAGTGGGCCCTGGTGTCATCACTATTTGATAGTGATTCATAAACGCCTGGTGTCACCGCTATTTGATAGTGATTCATAGACACCTGGTGTCATCACTATTTGATAGTGATTCATAAACACCTGGTGTCACCGCTATTTGATAGTGATTCATAAACACCTGGTGTCATCACTATTTGATAGTGATTCATAAACACCTGGTGTCACCGCTATTTGATAGTGATACATAAACACCTGGTGTCATCACCATTTGTCAGTGATTCGTGAACACCTGGTGTCATCACTATTTGATCGTGATTCATAAACACCTGGTGTCATCACTATTTGATAATGATTCATAAACACCTGGGGTCATCACTATTTGAGAAAGATTCATAAACACCTGGGGTCATCACTATTTGAGAAAGATTCATAAACGCATGACCATTATATACTCCGAAACGTACAGTCGACTTTTTGATGGTGTTTGATGAATATGGAAATGGTTTTGTCGCATTTATTTATATTAGAATATGTTATTAAGCACCAATACTCTTGTGTAACAAATGGTCATACGAGTGAGTGAGTGAGTGAGTGAGTGAGTGGGTGAGTGAGTTTGGTTTAACGCCGCTTTGAACTGGAGACTCCAGTTATATCGCGGCGTGTCAGCTTAATGTTTGAGGAAAGCCCGAAGTGATGCATGCCTCAGGTATTAACCACGAGCACGGGTATGGAGCTGACAAACCTGGAAACATAATCGGGGCGAACCGGGATTCGAACCCTGGTCGGATGAGGCTCACTCGAACCATCACCCACGACTATGGGGCAGTTGGGTAGGCGGATGGTTCAGGCGTTCGCATGGAGCTTTATGTGTGTGTGTTCACATAATGAAAAAAACCTTCTGTGGGTGTTCACATAATGAATGAAACTTTCTGTGGGTGTTCACATAATAAATGAAACTATGGGCGTTCACATAAAGAATAGGACTTCTGATGAACGGTCAGATAAGGAAAATGATTTCCACGGGGTGTTCACAAGATGTTCGTGCAGGTGTTCACATCGTGAAAGACGATGGGAACATTTGGCCACGCTATATTTAAAAAAAACTGCACTAAAATTAAACCCTAATTTGAGTGAGTGAGTGAGTGAGTTGTGTTTAACGCCGTTTTTAACAGTATTCCAGTCATATCACGGCGTGTCAGCTTAATGTGGGAGGAAAGCCCGAAGTGATGCAGGTCTCAGACGTTTACCACTTCGGTGAAACCCACGAGCACGGGTATGGTGCTGACGAACCTAGAAACATAATCGGGGCGAACCGGGATTCGAACCCACAATCATAGGTTTCTGGCGAGCCCAAACACTTCATTTGAAGACTCACTAGAAATTATTGTCCTGTACACACAGACTGGCAGCACGAGTGAGTGCGCGTGTACCGACTTTACACGGCCGACATGGATTCCTGACCATCATCCAATGCATCGCCATACCGCTAACAACAGGCACGGCCCACATTCGTTAAATACCTGTATAGCGTGTCATAATCCCTCAACTCGTCACCAACCCCAGGGACGCTATGAACCGGTTCTTATGTATCCCCCCTACCTGCGAGCTTGGAGACTTAGGCCTATTGTTGTTTGTTACGGAACCGTTTGGGGTCTGTTGCCTGCACGTTAAGTAGAACTGACTTGCAGCCGCCTGGTCCTCGTTATAGCGCGACTTGCCACCATTCACGCACCTGCAATGACAAAAGTAAAATTAACACTTCATATTGTTTGTTTGTTGTTGTTTAATGCCCGGTATATGACGGCGGTCTTTAAATAATCGAGAATCCAGTGATTGACATCATGAGCATCGATCGACGAAATCGGGATACGATGACGTGCATCAACCGCCCCGTAAACATCCGGGAAAGAAGAGGTCTTCAGCAACCCATGCTTGTCGTAAGAGGCTACTATGCTTCTCGTGAGAGGCAACCCATGCTTGTCGTAAAAGGCGACTATACTTGTGGTAAGAGGCGACAAACGGGGTCGGGTGGTCAGGCTCGCTGACTTGGGAGGGTTTTGTATGGAGACTTGATATCTTTTTCACCAGATAATTTTTAATTAAAACTATGAGCCTAAATATTTTTAAAAAGATCCAATCCAGTGATTGACATCATGAGCATCAATACGAGCAATTGGGATACGATGACATGCATCAACCAAGTCAGCGATCCTGACCACCCGAACCCGTTAGTCGCCTCTTTCGACAAGCTTAGGTGCCTTTTACGGCAAGCATGGGTTGCTGAAGACCTATTCTACCCCGGATGTTCACGGGTCCGCTTTTAACAGTGTTCCAGTTATATCGCGCCGTGTCAGCTCGAAGTGAAGCAGGTCTCAGACGTTTACCACTTTGGTGAAACCATGAGCACGGGTATGGTGCTGACAAACCTAGAAACATGATCGGGGCAAGGCGGGATTACAACCCATGATCACAGGTGGTCAGGCTCGCTGACTTGGATTGCCGGGATCGATGCTCAGGATGTCAATCACTGGATTGTCTGGTGCAGACTCGATTATTTACAGACCGCCGTCATATAGCTGGAATATTGTGCGGCGTTAAACAACGAACCAACCAACCCAGAGAGCAATTCTGAATAGTGTCATGTCATTCATAAAATGATTGTGAAGGTTGAAACCTTAACGTAGTGATAGTTGACACAATGACATTCTCCTTCATTAATCCCATGTGATTGTTTATGGGGTTTCAGCATACTGCAAACATAGCTGGATATAGTGAGATAACTGGGTAATAATAGCACATCAAACGACTTTTCTGAGAATTCTGGTATCGACTTGTAACACCGGCCTCTTAATATAATCGTCACCACTCGCCCATTTCCGTCACCTGCAAGAAGACTCGTCCCCCTATCGATGAATTTCATGTGCGAAAATACGACAAACCAATCAGAATGCGCGTATGATTTCAAGTTCTTCGTCAAAGAATCCCTTAGTAATAATGTTTGATTTTACATATGTCTTGCATCTAAAAATATACCCCGGAGATACAGTTAAATGTGCTCAATGATACTGTAAGACTCCGCATATCCCGATGTGCTTTAAATTGCATCTGAAATATATTTATATAATATATGGGGAAATATATGTGAACCATTACGCAACGAGTTGACGATTGTTTTCGGTATGCCCGTTTGCGCTAAGACGGAACCCCGTCGCCAAAATGGCAATAAGAGGGTCACGAGTCGCAAATCGGCTTGTTCCGGAATAACACGAGTTGGTCACGATTGCTCTTAATAGTCTCATGAGGAACACGTGTCCACGGGAGCGTAGTCAATTCTATCGTCATGATATGCACGTGCACAACATGCGCACAACATGCGCACAACATGCGCACATCCTCTCTTCCTGTTACACACCAAATATGTTTTCCCAAATTCTACTTGTCTCATACGCGTTTTGTAAGTGAGTGCGTGAGTTGGGTTATATCACGGCGTGTCAGCTTAATGTGGGAGGAAAGCCCCAAGTGATGCAGGTCTCAGACGTTTACCACTTAGGTGAAACCCACGAGCACGGGTATGGTGCTGACAAACCTATAAACATAATTGGGGCGAACCGGGATTTGAACCCACAATCATAGGTTTCTGGCGTGTGCAAGGGACGCAACTCTGCACATCGAATCGCGGCGCCTTAGACGACTGGGCCACCCGTGCCCCCCGTTTTGTGAGTTGTTCAGCATATCTTAGATTACCAGTAGTACGGATGAACCGTCGGTTAAGGTGAGCTTTAGTTAAAAGCTATTACGACACACATTGAATAAACATATGTTTGACTGTGGTCAGTTTGCGACATTTATCGAAAACATTCATCAATGTCACAGCGTGGGACTGTTTGACTGAAGTCAGTTTGCAAGATTTAAAAGACACATTACTAAATTTGACAGCGTGGGAACAAGACAGCACATGTTCTATAATCACATGCGATATTTTTAAACTAGAAGTGTATTTTTGTAGATCAATTGTCTCCATACAGGATACAACAGGGTGGAGACGTGTACTGGCTGGCTCATCCCGGCAATTGGCATTCAGCTCCAGTGATCAAATATTCAATTATAACCTTTATACGAATACAGCATGTTATCAGATGACTCAGCCAGGCGTGAGGCACACAGAGTGAAAATCACCAAGACGATACCCGAGGCTGATGATTTCAGTTCTCCTGTACCGACTGCCTCGGATCACCAAGTGTATATAATATATATCCGTTCTGTTGTTATAAATACCCTCGACCCATTGGCGGCAATACCTTCTTTCCGCAAGTGACGTCACCATGCCCACATTGTACTGCCTAATAGAATTTCTGATTTTTTTCGACCACGAGTCAATAATAAAAAAACAAGCTATAAAAGAACTTTTAGCTGGAAAAGATATTTTCAATTCAGGGAGGGGTGGTGTGTGTGTGTGTGTGTGTGTGTGTGTGCGTGCGTGCGTGCGTGCGTGCGTGCGTGTGTCTCTGTGTGTGTGTGTGTGTGTGTGTGTGTGTATGCGTCTCTGTGTGAGAGTATGTTAGGTTGGTGTGAGTGAGTGAGTGAGAGTGTGAGGCTGTGAGAGTGGGAGAGTGAGAGTGTGAGTGAGAATATGTAAGGTTGGTGTGTGTGGTGTGTGTGACATGTGCCTGTGCCTGTGCCTGTGCCTGTGCCTGTGTGCGTGCGACGAGCATACTGATGATATCGAAGCATTTGTGGTGCAACGGTGCAAGAATATTTATTGTAATAAAATGGAGATATATTCACTGGATGATCGAGAGTGGGTATTAGAGAGCCACCAGGAGGGTGTTGAACCCACAATCATACTTTATTTTAGGTTCCTGGCGTGCCCAAGGGACGCAACACTGCACAGCGACCATCCCTGCACCAGTACAAAAATACACAGTGACAGTTTTGTGGGATACATACTGTATTTTGATACAAATAATTCTGATAATGCACACTGGTAAATAGTACCTGAATGGTTCAAGCGGGTACCCATTTGACAACGTCGAACATGAAAAACTTGAATGGTACAAGCGGGTACCAATTTCACAACGTGGAACATGAAATACCTGAATGGTACAACCGGGTACTCATTTCACAACGTGGAACATGAAATACCTGAATGGTACAACCGGGTACTCATTTCACAACGTGGAACATGAAATACCTGAATGGGACACCCGGGTACTCATTTCACAACGTGGAACATGAAATACCTGAATGGTTCAAGCGGGTACTCATTTCACAACGTGGAACATGAAATACCTGAATGGGACACCCGGGTACTCATTTCACAACGTGGAACATGAAATACCTGAATGGTTCAAGCGGGTACTCATTTCACAACGTGGAACATGAAATACCTGAATGGTTCAACCGGGTACTCATTTCACAACGTGGAACATGAAATACCTGAATGGTTCAACCGGGTACTCATTTCACAACGTGGAACATGAAATACCTGAATGGGACACCCGGGTACTCATTTCACAACGTGGAACATGAAATACCTGAATGGGACAACCGGGTACTCATTTCACAACGTGGAACATGAAATACCTGAATGGTACAAGCGGGTACCCATTTCACAATGTGGAACATGAAATACCTGAATGGGACAACAGGGTACTCATCTCACAACGTGGAACATGAAATACCTAAATGGTACAAGCGGGTACTCATTTCACAACGTGGAACATGAAATACCTGAATGGGACACCCGGGTACTCATTTCACAACGTGGAACATGAAATACCTGAATGGGACAACAGGGTACTCATCTCACAACGTGGAACATGAAATACCTAAATGGTACAAGCGGGTACTCATTTCACAACGTGGAACATGAAATACCTGAATGGTACAACCGGGTACTCATTTCACAACGTGGAACATGAAATACCTGAATGGTACAAGCGGGTGCACATTGCACAACGTGGAACATGAAATACCTGAATGGTACAAGCGGGTACTCATTTCACAACGTGGAACATGAAATACCTGAATTGGACACCCGGGTACTCATTTCACAACGTGGAACATGAAATACCTGAATGGTACAACCGGGTGTACATTTCACAACGTGGAACATGAAATTCCTGAATTGGACACCCGTGTACTCATTTCACAACGTGGAACATGAAATACCTGAATGGTACAACCGGGTACGTATTTCACAACGTGGAACATGAAATACCTGAATAGTACAACCGGGTGCACATTTCACAACGTGGAACATGAAATACCTGAATGGTACAACCGGGTACGTATTTCACAACGTGGAACATGAAATACCTGAATAGTACATCCGGGTGTACATTTCACAACGTGGAACATTAAATTCCTGAATGGGACATCCGGGTACTCATTTCACAACGTGGAACATGAAATACCTGAATGGGACACCCGGGTACTCATTTCACAACGTGGAACATGAAATACCTGAATGGTACAAGCGGGTACCCATTTGACAACGTGGAACATGAAATACCTGAATGGGACACCCGGGTACTCATCTCACACCTTGGAACATGAAATACCTGAATGGTACAAGCGGGTACTCATTTCACAACGTGGAACATGAAATACCTGAACGGTACAAGCGGGTACCCTTTTCACAACGTGTAACATGAAATACCTGAATGGTACAAGCGGGTACCCATTGCACAACGTGGTACATGAAATACCTGAATGGTACAAGCGGGTACCCATTTGACAACGTGGAACATGAAATACCTGAATGGTACAAGCGGGTACCCTTTTCACAACGTGTAACATGAAATACCTGAATGGTACAAGCGGGTACCCATTTGACAACGTGGAACATGAAATACCTGAATGGTTCAAGCGGGTACCCTTTTCACAACGTGTAACATGAAATACCTGAATGGTACAAGCGGGTACCCATTGCACAACGTGGTACATGAAATACCTGAATGGTACAAGCGGGTACTCATTTCACAACGTGGAACATGACATACCTGAATGGTACAAGCGGGTACCCATTGCACAACGTGGAACATGAAATACCTGAATGGTACCACCAGATACCCATGTCACAGCGTGGAACACGGTTGAACCTCTTGTTACATTAAATCATACATCGAGTACACACGACAAACTGTTGCAGTGACCGCTATATGTAGTTGGTATTTGTACCTATCGTGTACAATGTCTACACAGTAATTTGATCTGTGTCTCAGTTAAACAGGGAAATCACTGGCATTTTCAAAACACGTGGCACAATACAATATTGATTAATTCTAAAATGCACACGCAGTATATCGACTCGTTCGTTTCAGAGTTGACTGTGAAACATCACAAACGTTACGAAACACGGAAGTAGTGTTCAACACTGATGGTGAATCGGAGTAAACAACCACGCCCCCTTTCCCCTGACCATATGTCACACAACACCAAAAGTATAAATAGAAAACACGATGTCTAAACCCCGCGTACTTACTCAGCATACCCACTGCTCCAGGGTAGGGCTGTCAGATCGAGGGGGGTGAGGATCGCCCTGACGGAGTGATCCGACCCCAGAGAGTCATCGTCAATGTTTAAAAAGCTAGGCCTTGAATACACAAATTTATCCGGGAGATTAGAAGTATTCAGCTTGTCATAATCTGGCCTGACAATAGTACTGCCTTTGCGGCTTTTAAACGTCGTCCTGAGCCGCGACAACATCGTCGACGCTGCGTCCTCTACGTGGGCATCTTGTGGAAATGAAAGCCGTGTTTACAGGGAAGCTGAAGCCTAGCTAGACCCACGTCATTCGAGTTTCGCGACCGCTTCACTGTAACGATCGCGGACCATGCATGACGAGGTGGTAAGTGGCGATTATTATCCACAGCAAGGCACAGACTGGGGCTGTGTCGATCCTGTGACCCGTACCACGAGAGATAGGTTCGTTCTAGATAGATATACACACTTCACCTGCCCCGTCTCACGCAGTCAAGCCCATATATTAACGATACAGCTGATTATTATTTTTTTTTGTATACAATAATTTTATAGCGGTGAAATTTGTGACGTCACAGCGCGTTGGTACACGAGCCAGGCGGGCATTACATTTAATCGTTTTGGTGAATAAATTATTTTAAATGACAAATGCGTCTACATCGTTCTGAAACGATTGTTGAGCGCTATGATGTTCGGTGTCGTTATTGTGGTTTTGGTATAACTGTGTCAAACGGTGTTATTTCTAAACGTGATTCAGCATCATGATCTAAAATGTCTCATTGACCGAGCTGTGACTGAAACACCTCGTTATAGAGCAAACTATGGTAATAAAGGTTTTGTTTGTTTGTTGTTTTGACGCCGCACTCAGCAATATTCCAGCTATATGACGCGGTCTGTAAATAATTGAGTCTGGACCAGACAGCCCAGTGATTGACATCATGAGAATCGATCGACGCGATTGGGATACGACGACATGCATCAACCCAGTCAGCGAGCCTGACCACCCGAACCCGTTACTCGCATCTTAAGGCAAGCATAGTCACCTTTTACGGTAATATAGGTGATATATGGTCTTTTGAAGATTAACGTACAGGATTGTTTCCCTTGGCCGTGGGAGGGTTCGAGGTCAAACGCGAAATTCGCCAAGGTGATGTGCCATCGTATATATGTGCACCATTACCTGCCCCTTGGCTTCACGTGTATGGTAAGCGTCTACGAACTGCGCAAATGGGCTTTCCACCTACACAATACCGACATGTGGCGTAACATGACTAATGTATGCTTTTTCAAAACTGGGCGTTGGGGTAGCTTCGTGGTGAAAGCGTTCGCTCGTTACGCCGATTCGGGTTCGATTCCCTACATTAATAGTGTGTAAAGCAATAACGACGTCAGGGTGCAATGTCACGCTATCAAATATTATCGAAAGTAAGTGAGTATGGTTTTACGCCGCTTTTAGCAATATTCCAGCAGCATCACGACGGGTGACTCCAGAAATTTTACCCATGTTGGGCAATCAAACCCGGGCCTTAGGTGTGACGAGCGAACGCTTTAACCACCAGGCTACCCCACTACACCATCAATTATAATCAGCTGTACTATGTCCCGGGGCCTGGATCAGTCTGACCACCCAGTCCACATCGCCACCTCTTACAACAAGCACAATCTTTAACAGTGGCTTACAATAGTCGTAGCACTAAGATCGCTTTGTGCACGTGGGCCCTGGTGTACCTATTCTAACCAGTTTTTTTCCCCAGCTGCTTCGCCACTTTTTTTCTACGTCCCAAAACCGTGTGAAAACATTTATCGTCATGAGGCCATGTCTGGTAGCGGCTGTTTCATGTATATAACAAAGATCCGGGTAGAGAAATGTTTTCAGCAACCCATGCTTGCCGTAAGAGGCGACTAACGGCATCTGGTGGTCAGGCTTGCTAACTTTGTTGATGCATATCATCGTATCTCAGTTACCTAGATCGATGCTCATGACGTCAATCAGTGGATTGTCAGGTCCAGACTCGATTATGGAGCACCGTTATGAAGCTGGTATATTGCTGAGTAATCCACTTCCGGCTGACGTCGCAATTCCAAACAACCAAACAACACCAAACGAAAAAGACTTGAATTTCACACGATATTAGCCTTAACTCTAAACCCACCACCTCCCCCCCTAAGCTCGAGGTGACCCTGAACTGACAAGCAGCTATCAGCGATGTGATTGTGGGCAATATCTATACCACTGTCTGTCCGCTGATAGCGCTGCGTGTCACCCTTTCCGGATGTACACTCGTGTTTGGTGCACAACTCTTGCTCCATCAACAGGATAACGTCACCAGCCACGACAGATATTTAAAACCGATAGGGTATGCCCTGAGTGAGTGAGTGAATTGGGTTTAACGCCACTTTTAACGGTATTCCAGTTATATCACGGCATGTCAGCTTAATGTGGGAGGAAAGCCCGAAGTGATGCAGGTCTCAGGCGTTTACCACTTCGATGAAACCCATGGTATGGTGCTGACAAACCTAGAAACATAATCGGGGCGAACCTGGATTCGAACCCACAATCATAGGTTTGTGGCGTGCCCAAGGGACGCAACTCTGCACAGCGAATCGCGGCGCCTTAGACGACTGGGCCATCCCTGCCCCCGGGTATGCCGTGTGGTGGGTCCAGGATGTTGAGGGGCGACTTGGCGGAGGGCGCAGTTAACATGGGCACATATACACACGATCCGCGGTCTGGAGCAAACCATGCTTGTCTTAAGAAGCGACTTTGCTTTCGGGTTTCGGGTTTGACCTCGAATCCTGCCACGGCCAAGGGGAACAATCATGTACGTAAATCCATGCTTCAAAAGACCCTATATCACCTCTATTACCGTAAAAGGCGACTATGCTTGTCGTAACAGGCGACTAACGGAATCGGGTGGTCAGATTCGCTGACCTGATTGATGCATGTCATCGTATCCTAATTGCGTAGATCGATGCTCATTATGTCAATCACTGGATTATCTCGTCCAGACTCGATTATTTACAGACTGCCGACATATAGCTGTAACATTGCCGCGTTAAACAACAAAGAAATCCACTGTTTCAACAAACAAACACAATACAATGCTAACACAAGGAAATGTGCGGTATAATCAAACAAATGTGACATCTATTTCAGCGAGATTGGGGCGGTCGGGTAGCCTAGTGGTTAAAGCGTTCGCTCGTCACGCCGAAGACCCGGGTTCGATTCCCGACATGGGTACAATGTATGAAGCCCATTTCTGGTATCCCCTGCCGTGATATTGCCGGAATATTGCTAAAAGCGGCGTCAAACCAACTCACTCACTCACTTCAGCGAGATTGAACGTGTAACGTTCGTACTTGTAGCCTGGTTTGCGAAATGAGTGAGTGGACTAGTAGGCGACAAAGGCGCTGAGAAATCACACTGCACAAGAATCTCTTTTTTCCAAGAACATGTACACCACTAAGAGATATTTTACGTCCGTTTCCTAAGGCTCTGGGAAAGAGAGTTAGAAACATAAAATTGTTTATATTATAAATGTTGTTTCAGATTTCTCTGTTGATTTACAAGACAGATGAAACACTCCCCCGCGGGTGTGGTTGAGAATGTAACCCCTCGGCCCTTCGGCAGTTGGGTTTTACTCTCCCATCGCGGTGGTGGTATCCAGTTCCACAAGGTGGCGGGTGATAAGGTGATGACGTGAAATGGGGTTTACCGTTACTCACGTATGTACATTATATATTTCACTGTACATGCACGTACGTGTGGGTGGCTGCTTTTACTAGTCCCGACTTATGCCGGTTTTAAAGCTGCTTACGGTGGCCCATAAGGGACATGGAGTCTGTTTTTCAATATTTTGATATTTCACTTTCTGTTATCGTAACCTTTTGCAAATTAACACGATTTGTCTTACAAATACATGTATGTGATAAATCATGTGTAAAGAAGATGTTGAACCGCTGAAAAGTGAAGCGAAAATGTCAAAAACTAATATGTAAATGTCAAAAACAAAAACGAAACGGTCAAAAAGTAAAATGAAAATACAGAAAACTATTTCTACCGCGGTGATAATATTTCCATCGCGGTGATAATAATTCCACCGCGGTGGGAATATTATCACCGCAGTGGAAATAGTTTTCTGTATTTTTCATTTTAGTTTTTGACAATTTCGCTTTTGTTTTTGACATTTTCGTTTTTGCTTTTGACATTTTCATTTTAGTTTTTGACCTTTTCGTTCGGCCCCATTGACTTCAGGTGGCAATACATATTCAATTTACTTTTTGCCGTTTTCTGATAACTTGTCTGTTATATACGAAAAATAATGATCTCAGTGTTATTTGTGAACGTCAATGCACATTTTGACATGTAGGTGGTATTCACATTAGAACCACTCGAATAATTTCCTTTTTAAATAACTGATCCGGACATTTTATACAATAGAACAACGGAAGAGCGCATTCAGAATGTTATGGACGGGATATCGTTTACACACAGCATGTCCAACAAACAATTACAATGTTTGGGTTTGCAATTAAATATATATTATGCAAGGTGTTTATGGACGTGAAATATATTGTGAAACTACTTTCAGTATTATGTACATGTACAAAAACCTTGGTAGTCACAGCACAAATACAGCTGACGGCAACGCTATAATCGATCTGGTATTTTTGCAGTCTTGTCAGTTTGAACAAAATTGCTTTCAACACAGGACAGCGGGAAATGAGAAAAAAAACATTCACACGACAGGATTGTCAAGTAGCGTTAGTCTATATTATTCGTTTTGAGAAGGAAAAAAGTACACGATCTGCTTATGAGTAAATCGGCAAAATCACATACCCCGCACCAGCGGGTAGTGTTGCATATGCTCTTAGTTCGGCCATTTTGAAATCACTTGGTTCACGGATATTTTCTACGAGTAGGGGGTCGAAATAAAAATAAAATTAAAATCCAAAAATACAAATTATGTTTTGCAATATGCGACTTTTTCTTGTTTGTTGTTAGGTCGGGGTGAAAAAATAATAATAAAAGGTCTGTATTCACTATACTGTAAGATAATAGACCTCTTTGTCACTCTGCCATTAAAAACACAAAGATGGTTTGCTATCAGAACTTTTATTACAAGCAAATACAATACAACTGGTGACTTCATTTAAATATGTCCATCACGTCCAGATAAACGGGTCAGATCGTAAAAGCTTGTTTGTTTGTTGTTTAACGCCGCACTCAGCAATATTCCAGCAATGTGACGGCGGTCTGTAAATAATCGAGTCTGGACCAGACAATCCAGTGATTGACATTATGAGCATCGATCGACGCGATTGGGATCGATGACATGCATCAACCAAGTCAGCGAGCCTGACCACCCGATCCCGTTAGTCGCCTGTTACGACAAGCATAGTTGCCTTTCACGGAAAGCATGGGTTGTAAAAGTTCCGTGCAGCCTTCAAATGATTTTAGCCCATTTG